CAGCTCTGGCAGCCACTAGAGCGGTCTGATTGTTGTTTATGATACTGCTCAACTGCTCAACGAGGTCTGTAGCAGGCACCAAACCCTCGATGCGTCCCAGGAGAGCCATGCGAGTTGGCGGACCGAAGGAACTGGAGGAATGTGCTTAAAATGGCAAATTGGAGTCAAGGAGTCAGGAGACACGAATAGAAGGAAGACAAGCGTTTGAAAAGAAAAAAAGGCCTCTTGGGCAGTCTCTCTGGAAAACGCCTAAAGAGCGTTTACTTGAGAGTAGGGGAAAGTCGTTGAGCTAACAGTAGTTCGTGTACTACGGCTGATGAACGATGTGCGTACACGAGATCGTGAACCATCCAACCAATGATCGCACTTAAGGTACAGAAACTATGGGTAGTACAGTCTTGATCAAACTCAATGCGATCCTCTATGTGCGAGGTCCATTTTAACCCACCAATTGTTACTGGTATACGACGAAGGTTAACTTAAAGACAAGAGTTAGTGTGCACTTAACACACTACTCACACTATCCCAAATTTAGACTCAGGTATAATTAATTTGTTTTTTTTTCTTGGAGCAGCTTATATTGCGTCCGTTTGGGCAGAAACAAATTTTAATGCCAGACACCTACTGTTTTTAAAACTTCTTAAATCACCTTGGTCTAACTGCTGTCAGTTGTGACGACGAGAAAAGAGAATTCTGGGGAGTCAGCACTCCTGTATGCAGAGCTCCCTGGTAAATTTGTATTAGTGTAAACCAGCAAAGAAAAGTGTAAACAAGTCCATCAGGTCGAATTTAGGTTAAAAATGAATTGAGCTTCTATTTTTAGGACGACGCGGGAAGGCTGCTGAAGTAAGGCATGGGGTGACTTGAAATCGGGTGTGCGTTAGGGAAGGAAGAAGTCGCAAAAAGTGACTAGCAATGTCAACTGGAATCAACATATAAAAACGTTTAAGCCGATAGGAGGATGACGAAGGTCCTGAAATTCATTAGCTAGGAAAAACTACAACCCGATAGCGGGGTAAAAGTGGAACAGGTAAGATAAATCCAGCTTGCCTCGATTGTTTCATCGGTCATCAGTAACTGACTGCGGTGTGCGGGTCCAGCTTTATGAATATCCTTAAGTCAGCGCTCCTAGATAATAGATACAGTATGTCCACGAATTCGTGCGAAAGTCATGACGAAATTTGACTTGGTAATTTAGCATATATTTTGTCACTTTGTTTTGATCCATTGAGTGGATTTAATGCCCAGAAAGCCTTTTAGTTAGGTAAACTGCCTTTCTGTTAAGTTTATTAAGGGTAATGGGCATTAATTTTGGCTAAATCGGGAGTAGCCCCAATATCGAAGAAATTTCTGATACTATTAAATAAGACAGAAACATACTTTTTACTAATATGCGGTATGCTATGGGAAAACCTAAAATAAGTAAGAAAAGTTTAAAACGTATTCCTTCCAGAACCGGAAAGTTTAGTCCGAAGTTGCTCAAATGCAAGTGATGCCAATTTTAAGGAATCGCATTTATTTTCAGAAACGAGCAACAATTTCATTTCCTAAAATCGTTTGCTAAACTATGAAGTTTTTTGCCACAAAATGCAGTAACGAAAAAACTTTGACAGCACTTTATTTCACCGCACGTAACCAAAACTGACCATATAGTATCGTGAAGATCAAAGTAAAACAGAGCTTATTAAATCTAAATCATGTGGAAATATACGTTTTTGTAGACTATAATTTCAGATTATGCGTAGTTCAGAAACGGAACAGACAGAAGATTAATAATTACTGCAAAATATCTTTGTTGAAATTCGGTGACTCTTTTTTGCATTCGCAATCTTAGAACAGATCCTGGAAGCAGTCCATTATGGTGGAAAATAATCCAATACGGGGTAGAAAGTGAGTTCTTTAATTTCCAGCCAAATGTTATCATTTTTCTTCAGGTAAATTAAAAAAACTTGTCAAAATTCTCCATTTTCATTTTGAAATTTTCTTGGAAAACGGTAACATGCACACATATGCGTCAGCTCTATACCTAATTAAAGTGCTTTCTAAAGAGGGAACCTATTAGTGATAGTTTTCTTATTAATCTTAGGAATAACAATATCGGAATTCTGTTGCGGACGTCTTTTTGCTCGACAATGTGTTTTACTGTTTGGAGGAATTTCTAAATATGGCCCACATGGCCATCTTCATAAGAACTAATATCAAAAAAACTAATCTTTCGGCAAATGCTTCTAATAAATACCTTATTTTAAAAGTTTTTATATGAACATGGGACAGAATCTACGTTGATGAACCAAATCTTAAAAACACAGAAAATCGTCGAAAATTTATCGGAAGTCAAGGGACAATTTTGTAAGTAATTGTAATTCAATAATGGCAATGTGTGTAAAATAGTCTGGTTAAGGAAAATTTATTTCGACATTAGAAAGTGGTAAGTTTATTCATTCAACTTACGAAAATATTTAAATTTAGTTGTACTTTATGCCTATGTTTTTACGTTTGGCGGACTTGAATTTTATTAAGAAAATTTTATTGTTCATAACAAATAATCAGTACTTCTTACATTTCTTTTAAGTAACAAATTTACCCAAGGTTGTTCATTATTATTTCTAAGCTGTCGTACGTGCGTTTATTTCGGTTT